TACTGGGGATTGAACCCAGGACCTCACACATGCTAAGTACATTCTCTACCACTGAGCTCTACCCTCCCCTCTAGTTTAATTTCTTCACCGTTTTGTTTTAAGTAACTTTGTGAAAGTGCTGTTTTCTTGTATTTCTGTTTGTCTCCCCTGGGTTTCAGGAGAATTGGGAAACTGTTGCCTTGGAGGATGAATTAGATGTCAGACGGGGTGGTCACTTTTCCCCGCTAACCTCATCTCTCTATACAGGCCTCTACTATGTGGACAGCGAAGGGAACCGGATCTCGGGGGCCGCCTTCTCTGTAGGTTCTGGCTCTGTGTATGCTTATGGGGTCATGGATCGGGGTTACTCCTATGATCTGGAAGTGGAAGAGGCCTATGATCTGGCCCGTCGAGCCATCTACCAAGCCACCTACAGAGATGCCTACTCAGGAGGCGCGGTCAACCTCTACCACGTCCGGGAGGATGGCTGGATCCGAGTGTCCAGTGACAATGTAGCTGATCTACATGACAAGTATAGTGGATCTTCCCCCTGAAGGAGGGTGGGTGTGGCTGCTTGCATTTCCTGGGCTGACTGTTGTTGGTAATGTGGATATAGCTCGCCATCCTCTAGTGAAGGGGTCCCTCGTTGTATCGATCATTTTCTTTAAAGCTCTGGTGCATTGACCTCTATGTGTTACCAGTTAATGAGCTGCTGCAGAAGTAATTATTTGTTTTACTTTCTTGGATGTTAACATTACACTACTTGACCTCAGCCCGTGTTGTGTCTTTTGTCCACACTGTCCCTCCTCCAAGCACTTTACAGTTAAATAAGCCAGGACAGTGGGAGGGAAGTGACTGTAATTACAGGAAACAGTGGTGTGAAGACATTGTCTAGTGAATACATTAACGTCCCCACTCATGATGCTAATAACGGAGAAGGAGAGAGAGGCAGGGAGGAGGGAGAGACTTCCCAATTCTGTTTGCAAAGAGATGAAAAGTTGATGAGGTGGAAAGATGCACAGGGCTGTACCAGGCAGAGCTGCGGAGGAGAAAGCTCTTCTCCTGTGGTGGGGGAAGGGAGGCCAATGCTACATGCAGGGCAGAAGAGGGTGAACCAGTTAGGAAGGTAAACCATTTGGGCTTTGACCCTGGGAAGAGGGCAAAGAGGTATGTGTGAAAGCAATAGTGACCACTAGGTTGGTGATCCTTGTCCTTTTGGCCCTCCAGTGTGTTTGTGTGGGAGATGGAGATGATGGTGGACTTACAGCCTCCTGGGCAGGAAGCAATACCAAATTGTCACTGGAAAGTGTGGGTGGGGAAGAGGTCCTGCTGAGAGCAGAGAGATGGCTGATTTATCACACCCAGCACTGAGGGGCTTCCCAAGCCCCGTGGCAGCAAATGGCAAGGCCTTCTGTTAAAGAGAAGACCTTGTCATAGGGGAGATGGAGGAGGTTGAGAGAAACCTTCAAAAAATGGGAGAGGGAGGCATAAACAACACTGCTTTGTATTGATTTGCAAGAAGGGAGAAAGTGATTGGTGAGGGTGACAACACAGTGTCCTGTTTTGAGGCTGAGGGGTTGGGCAGGGTCATCCACAGAAACTGAGGGGTAAAGCCTCTTGTCCCCCACACCACAGCTACCTTCCCTTCTCGCACCTTCCCTCCCCCCATCAGCCTCTCACCGTCTGTATTGATTGATGAGGGCTGTCGGCCAGGAACTGATCGAGGCTCGTTAATTGCATTTGTCAAATGCAGGGAAATTGGGAATTAGTGAGATCGGAGAAGGGAGTTTGGAAAACAAATGACTCTCATACCTGAGGAGATTCATTTTGCTGAAAAGTGCCTCCACTGCCCCTGGAGTCGGGGAGTTGCCAGCATGGACCTGGACCTGTTCGACAATCAGCAGGCAGGAGCCACGCAGCAGCCCCCTTCTGTGCAGCCTTCAGCAGGTGCCTGGCTATGACAGGGTACAGACAGTTGTCTTCCTCTCATTTAGGACAGTGGTTTGCAGAACTTTTAAAAAACTAGAACTAAAAAAAAAAAAAAAAAAAAAAAATTCAGAACATTTTTTAAAAATGAATTCTTAAGAGAAATCCCAACCCCTGGAAGAAATCAAATCAGACTGAAGTCGAGTTGAGGGTCTAGTGCCTCAGCCTCCAGCCATTTCCCACACATACTCCATACATACACATACTCCCTGGGACTTCTTAGAACCCCAAGGAACACAATTTGAAAATAACTGCCATAGGAAATAACCTTGAGGGTGAAAAGAGCTGAAGACTGGAATTCTTTTATAGGACCCCAGAGAGCATAAGACTCCGTGGTCTCTTAGCCCATGACAGAAAATTTAGTCTGGAGAGAACAGATTATCTGGAAACAATACTATCCTTGCCCTGTTGCTGTCTCACACCTGGCTTTGCAGTGGGCTAGCTGTTTAATGTAAATACCTCTTCTGCACTGGCTGAGCCTATGTTCAGGCAAGAAGACATACAACCTACAGTCCCGTGTTTTGGCATATCCCTGTGTCTCTGCCTTCCTAGATCCTGGATAAGAGAAAGACTCGCTCACTGGAAAAGGTCAATTTGTGGTGGGTTTTCTGGAAAAGTAGAGCGGAGGTGGAGGAAAACTGCAGGTCTCTAGGCCCAATGATACCCACCCTGCAATCGCAGTTTCTTGACGCTGGGACTGGTGGGGAGCTGGCTTTGCAGTGATGTTCTGTGTCTCTGCTTGTGTGGGGATGATGGATGCTGCATGGCATTGGAGAGATGCTGTTGAGTGGAATGTACCAGTTCAGGGACTCCCATCAGATTCATTTCCCAGTGCAGTCCTCTTGACAAAGGATGATGGAAAAGAAATTGCCTTAAATAGCTGGAAGATTAATTTCACTCAACAGTTCCCAGGCATCCAAGGGCCAGGGCTTTTTAAGTGATGTCTGACAATTTCTCCTCCTTCCACAGATAGCTTAGTAACACCAAAATCTGACTCCGGGTAGGTGATGGGACTAATCTGATTAAATAGAGACCAAACACTCCCAGGGGTCCCAAGCTTTCTCTTGCTGGTAGGGGATGCTGTGGGGTTGAAGACAGGTGAGCCTCTGGCATCTCCACACCAGGCAAGGGAAGGCTACAGGGAGTAGCAGTGCCCCCATGGGGTGAGTAGAATGTCCATGAAGGAAGGCAAAAAGGTAGGTGAGGACATGGGGAGGAGGGAGGAAGGACTTAGTTAAAGCAAATCAGGGACTGAAGCCTGATAGTTACTGAGTGTTGCCTCTTTGGGCAAAACCAGAAGGTCAATGTCTCTTGATATCCTCCTCAGCTAGCAAATGAGAAAACTGTCAAAGCCATTTGGGGAGTGGAAAGTTACATCCTTTGAGGTGAAATAAAACAACTGATTTATTCTGGTCCACGGGTTCTGTATGGTCTGTCAGGGGAGAGAGCAAGAGGTGGATGGAAAGGCAGTAAAGTAAAGAAAGGTGGAGGGAAACTGGGGGAGCACTGGCTGGTTGGGTCAATGATGATTTTACATGAGCACATGTGATTTGTTGAGTACAGTTAAGTATTTCATTTTCTGTTTGTTTTGATTGTTCTGTTAAGAGCCCCCCCTACTAGGGCTCCAGCAGTAGATTAGGTGCTTTGAAACTGACTAGCAGCAGTAACCTCAAGACAGGATTAAGAGCATTATGATTTAAAACATACGTATATGGCAACCAAGCATCTCTGCTGTTTTTTTTTGTTTGTTTTCCTGTTTGTTTTTAAAATTCTAGCTCCCCTTTAGGAAGCCAGAATCATACTGGGAAAGCTTTAATTATAACGGGCAAGAGGAGAGAGCAAACCCAGCAATCAGAACTGCCCTGATCAGCAGCTGCTCCCACCCGCTGCCTGACCCAGGCCGCCCAGCCCCCTTCAGCCTACTGTCCACATGCATCCCTGCAGTGCACCCCAGGCCTGGCCTCAGAGCCAAGTTCTTGCTTCCCAGGGCTATGCCCCACTGAAGCATTTCAGTAACAACTATTTCTAAAATGTCCCATTCGCGGTTGTTAATGGGTCAGGCAGAAGAAATTCTACCCACGTCAGCTTCTTGGGTTTATTTAACCCAACTCATTTCTCCCTAAAGCTTTGCCTCTGCATTAGGTGCCAAGCCTAACTTGACGCTTAACCCTTTATGACCCAGACTTAGCTGTCATCAGCCATGAACATCCAACCCAGTTTATTTGAAAGGAAATAAAGACACCTTGGGTTCAACCTCTTCTAATGCCCACCCCGCAACTCCCCTGCCACCTCCTCTCAGGCTGCGCCTTATTTCCATTCTCCCTTTGCTTGATTTCATGTTTTCTCACTGCTCTCTCTTTATAAAAATTCCCTTTTCTTCCCTCTGCAGAATTTAAATAAAACCTAATCAATCAATAAACCAAGTGCTGCTTATGGACTTTAATGTAACAAGAAAAGGTTATCTCTAGCTGCAGGGTACCCAAAAAGCTAGTATTACAGAGGGAAACACAGATGGACTGTGAGAAAGTGAGCTAGAGAAGACAAGAGACAAATGAGAGACAGAAGCAGAAAAGCAACTCCTGGATAGCAAGAGTGAGACTGAGCTAAGAGGAGAGGGAGAGATGGACGGGGCAGAGAAGATGGATGGAGACATTGATGGGCAGAGCTGGACTGTGAGGAGGGTGGGTCAGGGAGTGGGAAGGGGACTCCGAAGGACAGTGACAGAGAGAGTGGACAGAGAAATAGGGAGGAAGGAAGAGGCTAGAAGCTAATGCGCAGTGAAACATGTCCCCCTGGAGACAGATCATTTCTCCAGCCATACATAATGCACACGTGCCCCTCTGCGTGCTGCCCCTGTACTGTCACAGTCAGTTACATTCTGCAAGACTCTCCCCATGTCCACCCTGCTTGTGCAAGATTGGAAAGAAGGTTTGGGCTCTCTCAGAACCACCTTCTCAACCCCGCCGGGAAGACAGAAAAGTAGAAACCTCTTTCATAAGAGGAGCAGGGTAAGTGAGGCAGGATCACAGATTCAGTACCTTTTAATGTTTTATTTTTAGGTTCGCAAAACAGACATTCCAAGCTTCCCTGTACATACAGAGTTTCACAATGCACAGGCCCTTTTCTCATGGCAGCTCATCTGGAGTGGTGATGTGCAGGGTTGTCTGTTTGGAGGGAATCCCCTGAGCACCAGGGTTCCGTGGGAGGGCTCATAATCACTCTGTTTCTCTTGAGTCTTGAGACTGCACTCACAGCTTAATCTATAGAAAAGAAAGCAGTGGAGCATTTTAAACCAGAACAACAGATTAAACATAGTCCTACATCTCTAAGTACCCTCCAAAAGAGAAAATGCACATAAAGGTGAACCAGGCTTGAGTCAATAGAGCCCACATGTGGCCCTTGACTGTATGCGCTACATCCAAGAGCATCTATGTAGGGTCTCTGGTTGTTTCATGACGTCTGTCTTCCTTTTCAGTTAAACACTCGCTATACTATTCTTTTTGTTTATTCCCCAAGGTCTAACGTGGTGCAGGCTACTCATTAGAGATAATGTAATAAGTGTATTTTTAATGAATGAAGGAAGGAAGGATTTCACTATGGTGTCTTTATGCCAGTGATTCTTACCCTTCTAAGCACTGTGACTCTCTATTACTGTTAAATTTCAAGATGCTATTTTCTGCTCTTAGACATACTATGAAGCATTACATTAATGTTTAAATTAAGACAAAGTAAGATTGCTTTCTTTCAGAATTTTTTAAAAATGTTATGCCACCCCCTCCTTATAAATGACAATGAAGTGTCATAAAAAGCAGTTTTGAGGTGGAGGATATAGCTCAGCAGCAGAGTGCACGCTTAGCATGCACAAGGTCCTGGACTCAATCCTCAATACCTCCGTCAATATAAATAAATAAACCAAATTACCTACCCCCCCGATAGATGAAATAATTGGGGGAAAAAAAAAGACCCTAGACTGCTTAAAAAAAAAAAAGGCAGTTTTGAGACACATTCCTGCCCATTCACACTCTGCCTGGATCCTGCAGTCCTGTCGTCTTCCTCTGCCAATGGCAGGATTCGTTTCACACAAAATACGGTCAGCTCCTGCAAAACCGAGCTCCAGCTATATCTCTGTAGGTCATCTCCTTCAGCATATTTTGTTTAAATTTTGTTTTCTCTTCCGTCCATGGGCAGAGGCTTAGGGAAGACCCAAGCCTGGTTCCTGGATGTCAGGTACATGAGTGAGTTGCTCTTTACCAGGGAAGGACTAATTGACTAATCGTTGATGGTAAAAGGGAGTAACTTGTATCATCAACTCCACACCCAAAAATGAAGAGAAGCCACTTTTCTTTGGGCTTTGGTTTCCTTCAAAATCTAGAATTGTTGCCACTTGGTTTTTTCTTCCACCTATTCAAACAAAATGCCTTGACATCCTAGGTGGTGTTCGTTAACGTGCACTTTGGAATTCTCTGAAGCATTATAACAGAGTTCTAAAATAAATCAGAGAATCTCAGAGTCCATGAGACCATTTCCTTGTCTTGAGAAAGGGCTGAATCTAAATATCTAAAGCAAAAAATTTTATCCATTTTTAAATTTTGAAATGCTTCAAAACTTCAGAAAATTTGAAATAGTACAATGAATACCCATATACCCTTCATTTACATTCACTAATTGTTATTTTGCCACATTTGCTTCATATCTATCTATCCATTTATTTATTAATAAATATTTTACTGAAAAAAAAAGTATTTTACTGAATCATTTGAAAGTTACAGAGATCATGACACTTTACCCCTAAATGTGTCTCCTTAAGAACTAAGATACTCCCTTACAAAACTACAGTACCACTATCACACCAAGAAATTTAACATTACTATGGTCATATTATCTAATATCCTGTCTGTATTCAGATTCCCCGACTGGCCCAATAATGTCCATTATACTTTTTTTCCCCTGATCCAGGATTCAATCAAGGCTCACACATCACATTTAATTATCATATCTTTTCAATTACCTTTAATTTAGAATAGGCCCTCATATGTGAATGTGTCTTTTATGACATTTATACTTTAAAGAGTACAGACCATCATTTGTCCTGTGCAATCTGGATTTGTCTGATGCTTTTCTCTTAATTAGATTCAGGTTAAACATTTTTAGCAAGAACATTGCCTGGGCGATGCTGTGCACGTCCCATTGCGCTGCCCCTGGAGGCACATAAGGTCAGTTTGTTTCATTATCAGTGATGCTGAAGTTTGTCTGCTAGGTTTCTCCAGTATAAAGGTATATTTGCTCTTTGTAATTAATTAGTAATTAATTAACTCTAATGATAAGTAGAATGATTATTTGAGATCATGTGAATATCCTGTACTCCCACAATCTTGCACCCATTGGTTTTAGCATCCACTGATGATTCTTCCTCAATCAGTTTTGGCATTGGTGATTGCAAAGTTGGTTTTTCAAATTCTGTCATTCCGTTGTTTTTTTTTTTAACTTTCTGTTTTTGAAGTATAGTTGATTTACAATGTTGTATTCGTTTCTGGTGTACAGCATAGGGATTCAGTTATACATATACATACATTCTTTTTCATATTCTTTTTCATGACAGGTTACCACAAGCCATTGAATATAGTTCCCTGTGCTATACAGTAGTCAAATTCTGTCATTTATTCTGCCTACGTTAGCTGGCATCTATCTTTCTTCTCCTCTTTGTCCTCTTTCTTTGCATTTATCTATCTATAATTTTTTATTTTATTGCATTTTGATTTGTTGTATTTATTCTTTTTTACTGGTCTTTAAAGCTGTTTATACAATTTATTTTGCACGTAATAATTAGTCCAATTCCTAACTTTTTTATTTTAAAATCTAATCTGCCTTCACACCTGCTACAACATAAAGCTTTTTCATCACTCTTCCTGGAGTACTATTCCCTGCTGCCTGCCTCTCTTCCTTCTCTTTTCCTTTGCATTATCTTCTACCTTTCTGTAACCTCTTTCAAATCCCAACTCTCACAGGTACTTCCCTCTCCAGTGTCTCTGAGGACACGTTCCTGACTGGCTCCAGGATTTCCTTCCACTACTGTTCTCAAATGTTCTCGGGTATAGTAATGAATGACTGTCAGGAACAACGTCCCGGCCTCACGCCAGGGGAAGTTAGATTCTACTGTATGGGGAGGCCCCTCTGGGATCTCACTAAACAGAAACAGCTTAAAATACTAAAGAGATCTGCTTGATTCAAAGCTAAATAAGTAGCTTTTCCTCAATCGACAAGTCATCTGTGAAATTTAACATTTGAAATCTCAAATGCTTTAGAATTTAAACATGTAATTTTATTTTAGATGGAAAAGGTACATTTTTTCGCTATTCTCATTACCTTATAGCACAAAAATGGTTTACTCAAATTTTCTACCAAATATTCCCTTGTGACCATTAGGGGAAAAAAAGAAACTTAAAAAGAAATGGCTTTTCCATCTTAATTCTGACTTTGTAAAAATGGACTCACAATTAAAGATACATCCCAGGAGATGTTGTATGGGGGTTATGAGCATCCTATTGATGATCAGAGGGAAGACAGCTTGTCTTTCATGGACTCAGAACAAGAGAGCACAAGAGGATAACATAGGGAGGCAGAGTGGATTTTTTTTTATGCAGTATTTTATTTATTTTTTTAATAGAGGCACTGGGGATTGAACCCAGGACCTCATGCATGCTAAGCATGCGCTCTACCACTGAGCTACACTCACAATGCAGAGTAGATTTCACTTTAGGCAGAGAATAATGAATGGTCAAGGGTGCAGGTTCTGGAGTCAGGAGACCTGGATTCAAGTTCTGGCTCTACCATTTAATGAGCTCCATGACCTTGAAGTAAGTCACCTTCCCTAAGTCTCAGTTTTGTCATTAGTAAAAGAAGCAATATAATAGTATTTATCTCATGGACTTGATTAAATGAAAGAGACTGACTGGCATCAAGTAAACCTTCAATAAATGTTGATTATAATAATCATCAACAATTCTGTTTTCCCTTCATCCTAACATTTCTGAAAATGATCACCTGTTCACTTGAGGGTAAGAGATGTCCTAGTATGTTCCTACCAAAAGTTAATGTTTTCCTAGTGACTTCCTGGCTGGCTTGTATTGTTTTCTTTTTTTGTTGTTTTTAATTAATGGAAAACATGGGAAAGGAAACACAGAAAGTCTATAACTCTTAAGAATATCAACACTTCCACCTTATTTACATGTAACAAGCAAAGCTGTTGCCTGGGTTACCACCTAAGCCTGGGTGCTGCTAGGGCAAAAACAACAACTGGAGGCAATAAGCCTTTCTGCTGAGAACCAGATCCTACCAAGAGCATCCTGGACTTTGAGAACCAAAAGGTGAATGGAGGAGGCCTGGGTGACTGTGAAATTTGGGGGGCTGAAAAAGCAGCTGGCTTAGGGGTCCAGGTCAGCCACCTATTTATTGGCCATGGGACCTTGTAGTAAGCTCTCTCTGGTATCTGTATCTTATAAAATGGGGATGCCAATAACTTGCCTAAGACTGATGCAGTCACATTATCTAATTTCATACATTTCATTTACCATATTCAGTTTTCCCCAGTTATCCTGGTAGTGTCCATTATAGTTTTTTTTCTCTGACCCATATTCAATCAAGGATCATATTTTGTATTTAGTGATTAAGTCTCTTTCTCACCTTTGTGTGTGGCTTCATTACATTAGTATTTTAGAAGTGTTCAGGCCATTTATCTTACAGAACGCTGTGAGGACGAAATCAGATAACAATATGTTTTAAAGCTGTGCCATTGAGCCAGTGGGACATAGCGGTTAAGAAGTTGGGTTATAGAGATAGATTTTCTGGGTTCAAGTTCCGGGTCTACCTCTTACTAGCTGTTACAAGCTTAGTCAAATGACTATAACTCTCTGTGCGTTAGTCCCATCTGCAAAGTGAGGATAATGACAGTACCTATCCTCTACCGTGGAGATGAAATACGTAAATACATGTAAAGTGTTCCCAATAGCCCCTGCACAGTGAGTGCTCATGAACTGTTAGTTACTATAGAAGGCAAATTCTTCCTGTGGGATCTGAGTTTCAAAATCCGTGTCTTTGCTAGAAAAAAATTCACTCATTTAATTACAAATGATATTTTTCAGTGCTTACTAAATGTCTGTAAAGCCACCTGCAGCAGTAAGAATCAAAAAAATAGTTCCTGAATGGAAAAAAGAAGTTTAAGATATGTTTGATCTCAAACAGTTTACTAGTAGCGAATTACTGAAATATGTGGACCAATCAAGGTAGAGTTAAGCACTGCTAAACTGAGTAAGCATGAAGTTCACTCTGATGGGAGAAGAGAGTAGGAAGTGATATGTTTGACTGAAACAGCTGAAGAATGGATAAAAACTGACTAGTCAGAGAAGAGGAGACAGCGTTACTCCAGGTAGCTGAGACCACCTGAACAAAGGAATAATATGGGGGTGAAGAGGTGAGGGCAGTGGGAACTAAGTAGAAACAGGGGCCAGGGACCAGATTCGAGTAGTTTAAAATCCAGGTATAAGCAACCAGGTCTTCATGCAGGAGGCAAAGGCGGACCATTTTTTGTTCTTGAGAATGTAGCGTTAGCCAAATAGAGGAAAAATCAGGGAGGAAGGTTGGGCAAAAAACCACCCCAAAAGTGTAACACTTCTTTATCTTCCACCTGAAGGATATCACATACTTGTATGATGCTCATTTAAAGGTGGGAGTGTCAAGTAATAGACGTGACCCGGAAATATTCTACCTGGAGATCAGGAGCACAGTGCGTGGGATGTAAGTCCTTGATGCTTAATCCCAGTCTACAGCTTTCCTGACTAGTTAACCAAGTTTAGCAAATTGTCAGAAGGTGTTCCTCACTGGACTGTCATTTGTGCTGGTAACTAGGGCCTGGTTTCACTGAGAAAAAAACATGGGAAATGGGGAGAGGCGGATGAGAAAGTGAAAGGAAGGGGAGAGAGGTGGAGAAGGGCATAGGTGCCAGCGGGGCCACCGAGGTCGGAGCTGGCCAGGGCCGGGGTCGGGGGTCGGGCGGCCCTTAGGGGCCCCCCAGGGGCCCGAGCCTCGGGCAGCGCGCGTGTGCTCGCGGGCGGGGCGCCCCGCGGCCGCGGGCGGCCAATCCGGGCGGGCGTCCGGAGAGGGGCGGGGCTTGTCGGCTCGGGTTCCGCGCGTCCTCCTTTTTGCACACACACGAATACAAAGAGCCATACGACCTTCGGGTATCCTTTTTCCATTTTTTTTCCTCCTTAATCTTGTGTGTGTTTTCAAATTTTTTTAAAAAAAAATAGAGATCTGTAGCAGTGCTGGGGTGAGGAAACTGTTGCTAAGGGGAATGTGCGCTTTCCCCCATTTCTTTTTCTGTCTCTCTTCCTCTTTCTTTTTCCTGGTCAAGGTTTTAAATATACCAAGAAGTTGAGAAGCAGGATGGCCGTGTACAACTGTTTCCAGCCAAATTTCTAGAGATTTTTTTTCTTTTTGCTATCACATTTTAAGAACTGGTAAATTTTTATGGTCGAGGGATTTTAAAAAAATTTAGCCTCTTGGGAAGTACAGATTTCTTTTTTTTTTAAGCGGGCTGAAGGGATAATGTAAATTTCTGCCACAGGCAAAGTCGAAAGAGGCTGGAGATTTGAGACTCTCTCATAAAGCTGTTTGCGTGCGTTTTACACACCCTACCCCAGAGCCAAAACCAAGTGGCTTGAATGTGGCAATTGTCCAAGGCCAATAGGTTAAAAATGTTTTGATATTATCATTGTGACACTCATTTCCCCGGGGAGGTGGGGGTGGTCAAAGCCCTTCTTACAGTGTGTCTTACATTTTTGGTGAGGACATTATGTGTGTGTGTGTGTGTATGCGTGTGCGCGCGCGTTTCTTGAAGCATATGATTTCTTAAAGATTTATCTTGGGGTTTTGTGCTTTGTGTATATGTACAGTATGTGTATATGTGCCATATCAGACTTTGTTTTCAAAAGCGATTGCGTTTGGTTTTTATGTGTGCAAAATAGCCCCTAGGATGTGGGTTTTTTTTTTTCTGTTGCATTCCAAAATGTGGCCCAGACAGGATTTCATGTGCAGATTAAAACTTAGAAGAAATCCTATGCAAAAAAATACTTAGGCACTTTGATTCTATGTACATTTACTGTATTTTTCTGCTCTTCTAAAGTACCAGATTAGTGAATAATTAAATAATTGCCAGGGAATATACAGTTCATTTGGCAAATGAGGGTAGGCAATTTATTGAGTCTGTGGTTTAAAGCCTTCTTTAGTGACTGTTTTGCCTAAGTGGTTTTGCTTTTTATTGTCTTATGTTCTTAAATGTACAGCTGTGTGTATTTTGGCCTTTATGTGTGGTTTGGTTGGTGTGTTCAGAAGGGAAGTTCTCTCTTGGCTTTTTGACAAAATGGTCGTTTATAGGTTGGGATTTTTTTTGAAAAGCTCCACAGCTGGCAAAGTACCGGGAAAATAATCCAGTAAGGTCCAGTTCTCAAAAACTGTTCATGGTGGTGGTGATGGGGGTGCAAGAAGAGGAGGCAAAGGCAAAAAAGATGTAAGAGGGATAAGAAATGCGATTTGGTTATCATGTTGCATTTTTGGAATGAAAAACCTTCTCCCCATGCTAAGAATCACAGAGAGAAGTTTATGAGCTCAGAGCTGTGCCTCCTGTTACAGGAGCTGTATTCTCATTTCATTTTGTTACAGAACCACTGTCTCCTATTAGGAGTCATTCAGAAAATATTTATATTCAAAATCTGTATTCACAGATTGGAGTGAAAACATAGGAAGTATGTGGAGTGATGAGGGAGAAACTGGAATGTCACAAGTGAAGCAGCAACTAGGATTTTAAAAAGGGTCTACTGTAGAGTTAAGTTTTCATAACAACAAAACCTCCGTATGACGAATAATACACTTCCATTTCCCAGCTAGCGTCCTACTCAGTTTCAAGTAGTATTTAGGACACCTAACAACAGCGATAAAATTATTTGTACAGGTCTCGACGTTCACTATAATGAAGGGTAGCCCTGTGTGGGCTCTCTGGATTTCTTGCCTGTACTCAGTGCAGTTTTATTCCCTAACAATACAAATCAGAACAGTGCTTAATAAATACTGTCTCATATGTGGATCATCCCACAAGTTTAGACCTGTGTGTCTTTGAAATCTAGTTAGAGTCTCGTGACCTTTGTGATGGTGACAGTGCTGGGAATTTTTAATGGAGTTCCGCTCTTTCTCATTCTTTTCTGCATCACTGCAGGTCATCACATGCACTTTTTACCTTCTTGGAAAAGAGCTCTTCATAGAGCAGTACACAGCCCAAGCCCCTGTCTTCCTAGGCTGTTTGATTTTTACTAGGAATTTAGGTTCATAGCCAACGTCCTTGCTTTGAGTTTCTTTCTTTGTAAGAGAATTCCTCCCCCAAATACATCGTTGCCTTAGCCCTCCTACTAAAGCAAAGCAAAGCTAAACTCGGTTGATTTTGCTTGGGAATCCGCGGGACCCCTAGAGATGAAAACTTCTTTGAACTAAGGGCAACTGTTACCTTGCTAGTGGTATCTGAAAGATTTGTAACTAAGGCCAGCAGAAACTAAAAGCCACCAAATGTATGAGATCGATTTGGGGCCACTATACCTATAACCCAGTACATGCAGCTTTGTGAGCAACAAAGAACTAAAGCAAGTAAACAAAACAGAAAAGAAAGCTAGCTAAAGATGGCGACTGGCGGCCTTGAAAAAGCCTGGCAGTCGTGTCCCTCCCTGAAGAGGCCCCTCCCTTCCCTGGCTTGTTGAGTGATTGTGGATTGTGGCCAATGACGTCCCTGGCCCTACTCCGCCCCATCGCCCAACCGCCAATCACTGGAAGGCAGGGGACTGGTGGGGCGGGGCCTCCCCGCGTGCGCGCGCTGGCGGGGTACACGGGCGGGCGCCGCCGTTCCTCTCAAGTTGCTTGCGCGCCCGCCTCGGCGGTGGGGAGTCAGCTGGAGTGGCGCGCCGGCACACGCTGTGGGACACCGTATGGCAGCCAAAGCGGGTCCGCCGCGGCGACTCCCCCCCACCACTCCCTCCAGCCCCAAGT